TGGAGCAAAACTGGAGTGCTTAGAAAAGGGAGGAGGCTTGTGGTCTGGTGATCTGAGCACAAGCGCCTGAATCCTAAACTGCCTGGTGGGGTCTCAGACTTTCCCTTGCTCAGATGGCACTTCCCATCTCCACCCCAGGTGTGGCGGGGATGATGCCTGCTGGAAAGTGCTATGCAAAGTGTCACATATCCACCCCCAACGCTGGTCTTTGGGGGTGCTGCTGGACGAGGATTCAAACCACCTTGGGTTGGAAGCCCAGCGGAAGGAGCTTTGCCGACTCCAGACCCGCCCTGGTTTTCTCCATCTCTGCCTATCACCCCTTGCAATGCTGCACTGGAAATCTACCATCGGCGGGTGGGGTTGTAGATGCAGGACTGCTAGCCATTCTGGGATCAACTCCAAAGAGTCGAACAGTGTAAGGCAGAACAGAGAGCCCCAAGCCTCCCCCCACCTCCTCCCCTTTCAGACAGCGCCTTGATTCCCCCCTTGTCGTAAGCGCAGGCAAATGCATCAGCAAATGGACACTAACGAGTGCAGGTGGCAGAAAATTTTCCGACCGAACAGTTTTTCGTTGGCAAGTGCTGACTTGACGCAATCGAAATGTTTCCCCGGCATGGGTATTGATTCCACTTAAATATTTGCAGGAAATGAGCTAAATATTTTGTTTTGACTTTTCCTGTCTTCCCTATCATTGCCCCTAAGAGAGAGGTCACAGCCTGCTGGTTGGAGATGGTTGGGACCACATTTTGGAAGACTCACGTTTTGTGCAAAAAGTCTGGGGTTGCAGATTTGCCTCCCGTGAAACCGTCCGGTGGGGTCTCAGACTTGCCCGTGAGATGCAAATGCTGTCTCCTGACCTGCCCTGCTGATGGAGGGTGGCGAGGGCTGCGGGACCCCGGCAGTAGCCAGAACAAGCGGTTGCTGCTTGAGCCAACACTACTCGTGGTCCTCTGAGCTATGTTCATAGCTGGAGCGGAGAGGATGGGGTTTTGTTTTTGTTTTTGAGGGTCTTTTTTAAAGGAAATTTTTCACATCCCAAGTCAAATAAGCCAAATCAATTCCAAATCCGTGCTACCAGCAAACATCCTCCACCCCTACCTGGGGCTTCAGATATTTCCAAATCCAAATGTTGGCGGGCATCCTACGTGCAGGCCCAAGCCTGGAGACTTGGGGTCCGGATGCTTGCCCTCAGCCGTATGGCCGCAGGAGCAAGCTAGGGAGGAGTCTCCCATTTCCCTAAAGTTGGTGCGTAGCCAGGATCTTCCCACTGGGAAGCTGAGCGGTCGGAGTACTACCCCCTGCCACGTTCATGGTTTTCCCCTGTCCTAGGAAAACCACTTTAGTGGTTGTGGTATTTGGAGAGGATATGGGGGACAGCTGGAGGCGGTGGCATGCAGAGGGTTTGTCCGCTCTGCCGCAAGTCCGAATCCAGCTTGTGCAGGCAGCGCAGAGCAGCGTGAGCTGTGCTAACTTGCTCGAGTCCATCGGGATGTGTTTGAGTGTCCGGTGCAGGCTGGAGTGCTGGGTGCAATGCCTTCACTGCTGTCACTGCCTGTGGCATCGGGATAAAAGCTAGCTCACGCTGGCCTCCGGTAACGGCATAGACTTAGCATCAGGCTTGACCTTAGTAGAGAGGGCCCCTTCGCAGCCAGACTAGGCTGGCCGACTGCAATGAGAGCTACTTGCCGTAAGGCAGCAGAAGCCCTGCCCGGCAGCCCGTGGCAGGAGTGACTTCCCCAGGTGGGTCAGAGCTGTTGACCAAACTCTGTGGATGGAGCAGCCCCCTGACCTGGCTTGTCCTGCGAGAAAAAAGATGGCTTTGGGGGTCAGGCGTGGGGAGCACTGGGCTCTCTTCCACCGTTTTGCCATGCTGCTTTGGGGAAGGCACTTCATCTCCGAGCATAATGGAGTGACCTCCCCGGCAGAGTAGCTGCGAGGCTAATTTAACCAGTGCATGCGAAACATCCTGTGCTTTTAGGGTGGGCAGGGCCTGATGTTTGGTGGCTGAGAGCTGCTGTCTTGGCATTAGAGCTGGGCCATAACTGGCGTAGACAAAGCCTTGGCTGGGATGATCTAGTTGGGGATGGTCCTGCTTTGAGCAGGGTCTGGACTAGATGTGACCTCCTGAGCTCCCTTCCCACCCACTTTTTCTATGATTTGGGATGACTTCTCCAAAGCCCATGGTGTTTGAGCAGAGGGCTTGGAGGGTCAAACCTTTCAGATATGTCTTGGTCCATGATGGGGCCGATGTTCTTTTGAGGGTTGGGGCACACAGAGGAGTTACCGAAGGTGAAACCGGGGTGTGAACATACAGTACGTGGGCCTCTTTGCCCCAAGCACCCATGCATATGCTCTTACCCTGTGGCAACTGCAAGGTAGCTCGCCCCACTTCGGTGGGCTAGGCCACCTGGCATTGACCATAGGGCTTTGAAATCCTCAGCTGAAAGGCAGCTGCAAGCCCTGAAAACTAGAGTCCCCTTTTCCCCCAGTATGAAATGAGAGACCCCCTCCCAAAATGGATGGAAACTTGTACGTGGATTTCCATGAGCTATTGAACCCGCATCCGGCCAAACCCTGCAGGGCCCCGAGAGTGGGGCGCCTTGGACTTCGGCCTCGTGCTGACTCCCCGCCCTCACTTCCCGTTCAAAAGTGCCTGGAAGCGGAAACGAGTCATGTTTGCTCTATCCGTGGCAAAAGGGCCGGGAGAGGGACCGAATCGGCCCTGGAGACCAAGACGCCAGGCCCTGCCTCTCCTGCCGAGCTTGCTGCATGGGCTGTAAGGCCCGGGCTCTGGGGGTTTTTGCATGGCGTGCGGCGGTTGTGCTGGCTGGCTTGCATGGGGTCTGCCTGCGGCATGAGGGCGGGAAGGGACGGACGAGACGTTCTAGACTGGGGCGGCGTTCGCCGTGGTTTTGGGACCGGGTTTGAACCTCTAGAACGGTGCCTGCCCCTCTCCCGCGAGGCCTTGGCAGAGCCAGGACGCCCTCCCGGGGGTCCAGGCGGTTCGAGGTTCCCGCTCAGCAGATGCTCCAGACTCCCCGCAGCCTTTCCGAAGCCTGGCAGAGGCTTCACCCCACCACTGCTTTCCCCATGGGCTTGTATGGGGTGGGGGGGATGCAAGCTTCAGCTGCTTGTTTAGCCCCCCGAGGCCCTTTTGGGGCCGCTCCCCAAAGCCTCAGCCATCCAAACACCTCCTCTCTGGGTTTCCGGCGGCCTCCTCCGACTGCTCCTTTCCGTTCTGTGTCTGTCTCCTGCTGTCACTGCTTTGTCTTCAGCCCATGACTAGGTAACCGCACAGCGCGCGAGGCCGGAGCTGGCATCGGGGCCGGCAGCGCCAACTGGGAATTGTGCCCCCCTGGGGGGAGGCCACCCCAAGCTCCTTGTCCCCCAGCTGCCAGCCCTCAGGTTGGGAGCCAGGCAGATTAGTGCTCCAGACGCCGGCAGGGTGCAAAATGAACCGTGCGGTAACCACCAGCACGCGGTGCCAGGGGGCCTGTGCCAGGAGCTTTGCTGGGTGCCGTTACAGCGAGCTACAGGGGCAGAAATGGCTCGCTCCCGATTCTCCTCTCCTTGCATTTGCAAAACTGCTGGCATCAGCAGCAATCCTCCTGACTTTCACCTGCGTCCATGAGGGGAGTTGGGCCCACGTTCGCCTCTGATCTCTCTGCATCCACTCCCTGAAATGTTTTCCCCTGTAGATTTTTTTTACCTCCTCTTTTTAAATCCATCTCATCTCCTAGCCACCCAGTTGGAGGCCCCTTTTATTTCCTCGTTTGCCAGTGGCCCCTGGGAGCGCGTGGGCGCGAGCTAACCAGCCCGCAAGGAGGGGAATGCAAGAGTGTTTTTGTGTAGGTCCTACCTAAACTAAACCTGTCGTTAATACTTTCTTTCAGTGGAGTTTCAGATAAGGGAGCGGGTGGGTGGTGGTGGTGTGGGGGGGGAGCCTGGAAGGGTTTGATGACTTGGCAGTTAGCGATGGAATTAAATTAGGGCCTGAGCTGCCTCATTAATTAATTACCGAACGGTCTGTTTCCGCAGCTGCAGGCTGGGCAGGGCCTAGCGGTCAGCCCCTGGCATGGTTGTACCTCGTGGCCTCTGCCGAGAGCCTGACCTGCGCCGGGAGTCCCGAGCGAGGGCTGGGATGATGCAGACTGACTCATCCCGGCATCGCAGGCTGCGGCAGGAGGGCAGGCGCAGCCCCGTTCAGCCAGGCACCGAAGCAGGTGGATCGTCCCAGGGCGTTAGCAACGTGCTTCGGTACCTTGCAGGATCGGGGCCCCAGGGGGTTCGGAGCTGGCTGCGGATAGCCTGGAGGTGCCCCAGCCCTGCTGTCTTCCCGGACGGCCTCACGGTCTCCTTCCCGTCCCTGATGCAAGTAGCAACTCGGGGCAGCTCCAGCAGCAGCCTGGTCCAGCCAGGGGCTCGTGTCCGTCTCCCTCCCCGCCCCAGTGTCGTGGCTTCTGTGCGTGTCTGAGGCAGGGTCTCTGTGTGTGTCCTCCCCGCAGCCGCCTCTGTCCCCTCTCCTTTCGTCTCTGTCTGTCAGAAAAAATGTTGTCCTTTTTTAAACACAAAAACCGACCTAGGGACTTTCCCTGCCAGCCAGTCGGGGTCCCGCTCCATACACCCTCCTGGCTAAAGGGAGCCCTGGGTTGAACCCCGTTGAAGTCCCGCAGGGTTTAAAGTGAAGTGGGAGCATCCATCAGCAGTGCTGCAGTCCCCTCTACACCCATGCAGTCTTACCGAGCCCTTGGCCCAGCTGGTCCAGCCCTCGCCAGCACTGCGAAGTTGGCATTGGGACCTGACACCCCGTCCCTTGAACTTGGGCAAAGCTTGAGGTCTTCCCATGGGGCTTCGCGGGCTGGAGCAAGGCCCTTGGGGTTGGGCCCAGTTGGGGAAGAAGGCATCCCCTCTTGGGCTCACCTCGTTGCCTGCCCCCCCCCCCAAGGAGAGCCCCATCCTCCACTAACGTGTGCTGTGCTTCCTCCCACCGCCCCTTGCAGCACCAAAATGGGCCTCAAAGACCGCATCCGCCTCAACAACGCCCAGCGGCAGAGCGGCCGGGGGAGGCAGCACCTCATGCCCCCCATGCGGCGCTCCCCCAGCACCGAGAACGTCAACGAGGTCCCCAGCCCCACCAAGGTGCAGAAGAGCTGGAGCTTCAATGATCGCACCCGCTTCCGGGCCTCGCTGCGGCTCAAGCCGCGGCCGCCGGTGGAGGGTAGGTGCCCGCAGGCGGTGCCGGCCACGTCCCGTTGCCAGCTATGGGCAGGGAGGAGCAGGGTCCATGAAACCCAGGAGTCCTGAATGCAAACGGTCTCCGGAGTGGGGAGCTGTCTCCATCCCATCCTGGAGGGGGTCTTGGCTTGGGAGATGCCCAGGGCAGGAGGGGCAGAGGATGTGGCAGAGGATGCAGGAGAGGAGCAGCCAATGGTGAGGGTGTTGGGGGGTCCTGACTGGTGGAGGGTGCATCCCCAGAGCCATGGGGGTGGGAACAGCAGGCTTGAGGGCACACGGGTGTGCAAGTTGCCCCCAGGTGCCCTGGGGAGCAGAGGGAGGTGGGATGGGATTGAGAGGCCTGGCAAAGCTGGTAGGGGGCCCATCACTGTGTCAGCAGGAGATACGGAGGATTTAGGCTGGATTTACTGCTGTACCAGTATTTAGGCTGGATTTCCCTGGTTCCCATATGTATTGGCCATAACCACAAGGCCCCGGGGTCTCTGCCCAGCCGCAGGGCCCAGGGGCTTAAAAGGCTGTGCAAAGGCCTGTTTCACATTTTGCCCCCTTCCTTCCTTCTGTTGTGCATTTGAGTCTCTTTCCAATCTGAATGGTTCCCCCCAAAATGCACACCCTGCCCCACCCACACACACATGCACCCTGCGTGTGACAAGGACCCTATGGGGCAGAGTTGCAGTTGGGGCACAAGCAGGCTGGAGGTCTCCACTATCAGCTCACTGCTGTCTGCCTCAGTTTCCCCCTCTGGAGATGATCTATCCAGGGAAGGGTGTGGGCACGGGCGATGTCATGAAAGGGCTCTGAGGTCACCGGTGACCCAGACAGGGCCAATCTAGCTCAGGATAAGCCAACAAGGGAGCTGGGACCCAGGCTGGCACAGAGGGCAGAGGCTGCGGTCAGGTGAGCCCCAGCGAGGAGGCCGCGTGAAGCTGTAGATCTGAAGGCAAGACAGTGGGGTGTCCTCACTGCCATCCTGTGCTCTGCCATCAGCCGACTGCCCGGAGGAGGACGGCAGCGAGGAGAAGGGCCACCAGAGCGACCTGACCTTTGAAGACATCATGCCAGCGGTGAAGACGCTCATCAGGGCCGTCAGGTGCGTGCATCTGTCTGTCTGGCCTCCTCT